TTTTTAAGTGTATTATATTTAGGAAATTAGGGAAATGGTATAAGTTTTTACTTTACCCTTTTTGCTTTATATATATTTTAAAACAAAGAAGTATTTTGTATTGTGATACTACCCAAATTAAGGATACTAACTAGCTTGATATCCAAGAAATTCGTTTGGTAAAACTTGTCTAAACTGAAATTCTATCTAAATTTTCTAAAATAGACACGCCATTTTTTTCATGAAACTATGTGTGTTACCAATACCTAGCCAATATGGCTGGAAAATCCCCCTTCGCTTTGCTTATTTCCCCTAAATTCAGGGCCCTCCCCTGCCCATTTAACCGCAAGCCATGCTTCTAATGCCGCGTTGGCATAAATTTAAAGCAGCAGCTGCGGTTTTTCCACTGCTTTTCCTATGCTTTTCCTCTCCTTTTTTTGCAGAACTGGGATTTGTTCTCTTTTAGCGGGAGAGAGGAAAGTGGAGAAGAAGCCACGGTTACAGAAACTATCCCAGGTACGGCTTTAAAGCCCAAAAAGCATTTTATGCTGCTAATTGATTTTTCAAACACTCACCCCGCTGCGGTAGTTGGCCCCCCCTTGGCATCCCCTCGATGTTGCGGCTGCCACTGCGCTTTTGTTTGGCATTCAATTAACGGGAATTTGCATTTTATCTATAGATCCACTTTGCCACAATATATATAGTAGTTGTTGCTGCCACCGGAGTGTACGCGAAACGCCGTGAAAACAAAAATCCCCAAGTGCTAAATCAACAAAGCAAAAGAACACCCAACGCGAAATAAAAACTAGCATTCTAATTCCTCCTCATAGAGTTTTGTCTTTAATTACAGAACTTGGCATTGATCTCCGGAATCAATCGGTTAGGCGTTAAAATAAGAAAAATTCCATTAACATTACCAGAGTGTTTGCCCAATGTGGAAGTAAACACATAAACCTAGATTCTTCACTCATCATCAACGGCTACAGGGGGTTGGAGTAAGTTGTATGTGATGAGCAAAGCTTAGATCCGAGGGAAACTTGTGTAACATTCCTCGTTGAGTCTTGCCTCACCTTGCCAATAAACTGTAAACTTAACCTCGAGGTCATTTAAATGCTGATTAGCCTGCAACTACTATTGTGGCGAACTTACATTACAATGCTTAATGGCCTCATGCCAGCTTAGTTTTATTACTAAACTATTGACCAGCCTGAGATAGTTTATAGTAATTAAACTAAGCTGACATTATTATTTATTTTATTCTTACTACGAGGGGTTATTTTTATAGCTTAGACAAATGTTAACCAATCTTAATAAATTCTTCTTGAAAGTAGGAAATATTACCTATGCTTTTAATAATAAGATGGCATAAGATTTCCACAAAAAAAAACAAGAATTTTAGTTCCTTGATAATAGAACTTCAGTCTATATAGGTTAAAAGTACTCCAAATACTTCTCTTTCCTTTGTATAAAAAGCCTTTCCTGAAAAAAGATGATAAGTACTTTCTCTCAAGCTTTATATTCATAATTAGCAATATTATATGATATTGTTCCTATGGCAGCTATATACATATACATAGTCCACCGATTCGCTATGCTCCGACTTATAAACTAGTAAAATTATATAGAAGAATATCTCCATAGTTTCATTCAAATAGCTTCCTCTTAAATTTGTTCCAGAACAAATGTCACACATCTGTGCATATGATTCCTAACTGGTTCTAACATCCCTGGAACGAAGTGTTTTCTGCCGGCCAGGTCTCAGAAATGTGTTGTGGTTCAAAAGTTGCAAGTCATTGTTTATAAGTGTTCAAAGTTAGTAACTGATTATATATACTTACTGGTCATAGATACTTACTGTTCAGAGTTACTTACTGGTCATAGATACTTACTGCTCATAGCTACTTACTGCTCAGAGTTAATTACTAATCATACTTAATGATCATTCCTATGGCAGCCATATATATCTATATATATAGTCCACCGATTTGCCATACTCCGACTTATATTTTAGTAAAATTATATACAAGAATAACTCCATATTTTCATTTAAATAGCTTAGAATTGTTTCAAAACGAATCTCACACACTTGGGCATATGATTCCCAACTGGTTCTATCATCCCCGGAACGAAGTGACTTCTGCCGGCCAGGTCTCAGAAATGTGATGTGGTTTAAAAGTTGCAAGTCATTGTTTATTAGTGTTCAAAGTTAGTAACTGATCATACATACTTACTGGTCATAGATACGTACTGATCATAGTTACTTAATGTTTATTGATACTTACTCATCATAGTTACATGTCCCACATCTGTGCATATGATTCCTAACTGGTTCTAACATCCTCGGAACGAAGTGACTTCTGCCGGCGAGGTCTCAGAAATTTGTTGTGTTACAAAAGTTGCAAGTCATTGTTTATTAGTGTTCAAAGTTAGTAACTGATTATATATACTTACTGGTCATAGATATGTAGTTGCTGTTCAGAGTTACTTGCTTCTCATAGTTACTTACAGCTGATAGTTAATTACTGATCATAGTTACTTGCTTCTCATAGTTACTTACAACTGATAGTTAATTACTGATCATAGTAACTTAATGTTCATAGTTAATTAGTGATCATAGCTATTTACGGATCATAGAAAGATTGAAAGATACTTACTGATCCTCTACATTTAAAACCGTTTCTCTGGCAGTCATATTATATAGTAGTCCGATTTTCATATATCTAAAAACGAAATTCTATAATTAAAGATAGCTTTGAATCAAATTAGATACAAAAATGTTAAAAACTGTAAAAGTTATAATGATAAGAAGATGATAAGTATTTGCGGTTAAGCAATATACTTATAATTACCAATATTAAATGATAATAGTATTACCAAAGTCACGTAGCTTCGATAAAGCTTGATAACCGCTGAAAATGATGCGGAAACCCCAGACAGAGTAGCGCCCAATCGTTTACACAGATACGTAAGTAATATCTAGATGGATCTGGCCTAGACTGTTAATGATATCGCCCCTCCGTCTCTCTACATAACGTATGTGGTTTAATAACAATTATTATCCAGCCAGCTGGTTCATAAAACTTGACGAGCATACATAAATAATACATAAGACGCGACCAGCGGCAATTGCAGGTCCACCTTTGAGTTGAAGTTGAAGTTTAAGCTGGAGTTTAGGTCTCAAGGTCGCATTGCACACTTGATTTAACAGCGAAGCTGCATTTCTTGGCCTGATGTGTATGTGTATGTGTATTGACCATAAATATCAATGAAGGAGTGGCAACCGGCAACAACCGGTTCGATCTTCGATCTTGTGCATCTTCTGGTGCAGCTTCTTCTCTTTTATCTTCTGGTTTTTATTTTTTTCGTCCCGGCTCGGTGGTAACAACAAATTGCTGCAAAAAAAACAATGCCCGGCGTGACATTGAATTGTAAATGCAGGCGATAAAAACATTCAACGTTGAACGTATAAAATATACGCAGAGCGAAGAAACCGAAGAAACAGCGGAGTAAATAAAATGTAAGCCGACATCGGATGCATGTGAATTTTTTGTTATGCTGCGCGAAAACCACAGAGATGGCAGAGATGGGAGCGTGAGGGGAGTTTTGTTTTAAAGAAATATCGGAAAAATTATAAGGTTTTCTGCAAAATTGAAAACTATATTATTATTGAAAATATATATTAGGAAACGTAACGTAATCATTTTCAACTCAAGCCCCTCTTGAAGCACTTGCTTTTCTTCTTATTCCAAATGCTTGTTTTCTTAGCGTTTGGTTCTATATTTCCTACATTGATTTATGATTTCCATTCCTATTAAAAACCTATACTTCTAATCACTATAAACTACAATCTACAAAGCTATAGCCGAATTTAGACTAAATTTTTTGACACCCCCATAAAAGTCATAATAGAATAAATTCCCTAAAGAAAGGTATGCTTAGAGGCCTGACATTTCTCTGTCGATAGTCGGTCCATGTACTAAACCCATCGTCAAGGTCCTGGACATGCAAACAATGTTTACATTTGCAGTTCCATGCTGTTGTTTGTCCTTTATCCATTGTGTATACACCATCGCCCTTAAGCACCCAGCCTCCCCTATTGACCAACCCATGGCCCTGTGGTCAGCTGCTGTTGCTGCTGCTTCTTCGCCATTCTCGGCTTGTAAAAGACATTGACATTTTTTTTCTGCTCAGTTGGCTTTTCTGTTCCACACTCCACACTCCATACTTTGTTGTCGTTTTTTAATGCTTTTATACATATTTTTTCCCGCTGTTGTTGCTGCTGCTGCTGGTGGCGGGTCTGGCCATCGCATTACGTCACTTTCACTGTAGTTTGCGGCTTAAGGCAGCATTTGTTTGCCATCGCTGTTATTGTGGCCATTGTTTGCACTTGTTTTTTTTTTACTTTTTGTATTTTTGGTACAAACAAGCAAATTGCAATAAAAATGCTCAAATTTATGGTCCACTGGCATACATATATTCCGTTTGGTATGATTTATCCGAGACTTTTGTTCGCCTCGCTTTCCGGCGGCACAATTTATGTCCGTTTACATGGTAAACTTTTGCAGTCTCTGCCAGTCATATCTTTATATTTTTGTTGTTATCTGTTGGGTCATTTTTTTTGGTTCAAGTTCATCAGTTGGCCACTGACGACCGATGAATTTGCAACTGGGCCCGGGTTCCGACTTTATTGTCTTCATAAATGCGTCGTTAGAGGCGTACGTAGTATTATGTCTGTATCTCTCGTAGCGATTTGAGGCGTGTAAATACTAATCGTAAACCTGATTTACTCGTGGCAAATGTCAGCGAATATATGTTTAATGCTTGGCACTTGTTTTCGTTAAGCATACGCCATTGAACACCCACATTACGCATACGACCTGTGAGCTCATGGAGTATGCTCACATTGTTAGGGCATTGATCGATAAGAATCGAGAGTCATTAGCCCAGTTAACGTGGCCTGACTAATCAGATGCGTAATAAGGCCAATTTCCAAGTTGCCAAATGTCAACAAATGTCGAGCAGTTAGCTCTAAATTGAACCAAGCACTGAACAATGTGGCTAACTCCGATTTTGTTAATATATCTATCGGGTGTTTACGGCGTGAGTTTTTTAATAAATCTAAGACCAAATTGCAATACAAAACAGCTTTATTATCCAGCTAAAACTGCAAATCGAGAAGTTCTACTCCAAGTCCTTTGTGCCCGAGAACATCCATCTTTCCTATAACATTATTCGCTTTGAAGAAATTAACTTTAATCTGACTGTGGAAGTGCCATTTCCCGGGAAACTGCTTTTGCACATTTTCGTGCGGAAACTCTCGGATCAATTTGGTGGTTCCGACCAGGTCGATCTCGTTCGCTTCAGGAATATGGACGTGTGCAAGCTCCTTGATTCGCTACGCAATATGACCGTGCAGGAGATTCCGGGTGAAAGCCTTCTGCCCTCCACCTTTGTAATTTCGTGTCCTTTTGTGCCCGGGTTTTACTATGTGAAGGATAGCACCGTCGATGTTAGCCTGATTCCCTTCCGAATCCCGGATGGCCGGTATATGGTACTCCTCGAGCTGATTCAGGTGTACGAGGAAGTCATGAAACTGGTTACCACCAGGATCAAGTTTGCCATGAGGAGACCACCAGGCTATAAGGAACCATCCTCTGATTTTGATAATAGCGATGAAGTAACAACAAATCGTGAAGAAGAAAAAAAGGAGACTAAAGATGAAACAGAAGGGGAGAAGGAACCTAACAATGAAGACGAGGAGAAGGAAGATAAGGAACCTAGCTCAGAGGTTACTTATCAGAGTGATGATAACTATGAGACTACTTCTGATTATGAAGAATAATAACAACTATTATTTCAAAATATTATGATTAATTTAATTGTAAAAGTTTCCAAATTAAAATTCATGCATTTTTGGCTTAGTTATGAGTTTTTTAAACCCAGATTTCTCGAAAAACGATTCAAAGAATGTGAATATTTTAAGCTAAGTTAAAATCGATTTCAGATTTGATCCTAAAATTTAATTAAAAACTGCAATGGTATATAAACGTTGACTAACCGAAGTTAGTTTCCTTTCTTCTTTAAATACGAATTCATAGTTAATTTTTAACAATTTCAATGATGAACCAAATCCCTTATTAAACACACACCCTTTCAGTTCCCACACTTTTCGCAAACATTTATGTCAACCCCAAACTAATTTCACAATTACTGTCATTTCATGCCGCCTTTCGTTAGTCAGGTTCGGTGCGCAAAACTCAATTTATGGCCACCTACAACAGATTCACCAAGATTGAGACATCTCACACTTGGCCAGAGGCACGCCCTAACAAGTTAATTGAGAGGCTCAGGGGCATGGGAAACATATAAAAACTTGAAACATATCTGCTCACCAAAGATCGACTCAAAGGTATTCCATTCAAGCTTATCTCTTGCATTGTTACAACTCTGAAGTCTGCTTTGATTTATCCATAAACAACCTATTAGTTTTCGAGTACAATCTATGGAATTTTTTAACTCGCTGTGACATTGTGATGACGGGCATTCTCGAAAGTCCGAAGATTTACATATGTAGAGCGGGGCGAATGTTTCCGGTTTTCTGAAACCCACGGATCAGCTGCAAGATCCAAGTCCACTGCGGCTACTTCCACGATGACTGGGCAAAAAAACGCCTGGCCTCCGTGCCAGTCTCAAATGGGTTTTTGTGCTGGAGCCCAGCCCAAAATGGTTCCATCATTTAGCTTCAATTTTATTGACACAGTGGTCGACTCTTTAGGCTTGACGGCTTTTAAAAGTGCCAAATATTTATGGATCTCGATATATACACCCTCATTCTTGAGTGATAATTTATTTAATTGGCCCGACCATAGTGATCGATCAGTGTGAATGTTTAGCGGTGCGTTTGAGGACGTTCTTGAACTGTAGTTATTGGGAATTAGTAAGTAAACTTCCTCCTATGACGACTATCTTCCTCCTAATTGTGGACAAACATCGCTCTGGTGACCGCATTTGCGGTGACCTTCACTCGAGCCTTGTTTTCATTTACCGAGTGCGATTATTATTTAATCAGTGATCAACTTCTTCAGTGGCTTAACCCGGGCAAACAGAAGATGCCACCAAAAGCAAAGTAAACAGGGCGACTTGGTTTCGGTGTTTTAGTTTTCGGTCTACCTGATTTGCACGGCCAGAGACACACCCTCCAGCTGCCCCCTCGACTCCGCTTTTGGCCAGTTTCGGTTTTCAGTTTTCAGTTTTTGAGTTGATATTTCCTTCTGTTCACCGTTTTATTTATATATGCGCCGGTCTTTTGTTTATGTATCGCTCATTTGTCTGCTTCTCCATTGCAGATTGCAGTTTACATATGGCATTATCATCGATGACCACCTTAAGTCCGGCTATAAAAAGCCCCGATCACAGGTGGAGCGATGTGCAGTCGATTTTTGGATTAATCAGTGTGACATCTACCACAAGAAGTAATCATGAAATACCTAGCTCTGGTGAGTCTTAAAATATCATCAAGGATTACTTCGCTTGAACAGGATTAACTGAAAAATTATAGGAGATTCTTACTTTGAAGTAGGGAAAATATAGTTTTCAACTGTGGATACACAATGATAGAAATCTCAAGCAAAAATATATTTCATTAAAAACTACGGAATTAATTAGGACTTGCAAATTTTAATAACATTTATCTTACTTTATTTTTACAGACCCTGTTCGTGTGCCTGTTGGCCATCGTCCTGGTATCTGCAGTGCCCGTGGATGAGTCCCTGATTGGGGATAATATCTACCAGCCAGCCTTCGATGAGGTCCAGCGTCCCCAGGATCCGCAGGCGATCTTTAAGCTGAAGAAGCTGCTCAAGCTAAAGAAGCTCCTGGGTTAGGAGGCACAGCTCCACCCTTCGCCGGCGCCCATCTGCCCGCTAAGCTCAGCTCAGATTCTAGTCCAACCAATTGGGAACTTGCCTCTTCCACATCATTCAATAATTCAGCAGTTTTGACAAAAAGAAAAAACCTAGAAAATACCATAATCACACACAGCACGTTCATACATCCATACAGACGAGTGAAGACCACGTAATCGTAAAATAAATGTAATTTTCATACAACAAAAAGGCTCGTGCGAGACGACTTTCTTATGTCATCGGTCCGGGGGATCTCCCTCTGTATCCAAAAAGGAGCTAATGACAGCGGGTCGAGTTTTTGTTTATGTAGATCTCGACGGGAAACTTGTTTGTGATCGTCGTGTCCACGGAGAGAGTGTGAAAAGCGAGTGGAGTCCTCCTTACTGGTGAGTATTTGCCAATACGCTATCCTATATAAATTAAAAGTCTACCATGTGCTAATTGTGTGCCATAAAGGGGATATCTAAATGAATAGCTACGCTTTTCATCAATGATTCCATCCATTGATTGATTTAACTGATTCTCGATAAGGTGTATAAACCGAATATAAAACTTTATTGATTTAAAATACCATCTAAAGTGACATATAATAAAAATGCTTAAATTAGTTTTGGATTTCTTTAGAATAAAATTCCTATCAACCCTTTGTTGGTTATACATCAAAGGTTTTGTTTAAACAAACCTGGTTTAAGCATTATCAAGATATGCAAGTCAGGCAAGCCTAAGTGGTTTACAATCTTTAGAGTTTCCTTGGGAAATACTAATTGATGGGTATTGTAAGCCTTAGAGTTCAGGAGATATTTTGCCCCTGGTAACTATATAAAAGAGTTTAAACTCTTCCAATAATGTCTAGTTTGTCAAAAACAAAAGACTTAGGAAGCAAAGTATTTTAGTTTACTGCTCAGGGAATTTATAAATTAATTATACTTTCATTAAAATTAGATCTAAACATTTTTAATGTAAAGACAATATTCTTTATCTATGTCAAGCCATATTAATCTCATTACTTAACTACCTATTTAATATGTTAGTTTTACTTACGGTTTCTTCTTCTCGCGCTGCCAAACAAAAGACTCAGGAAACGAACTTCAAAAAGTAAATTTCTGTTACCAAATACATATTTATTTTTATTTGATTTTTTTTTGTTCTTCTTCCTCTTCTTCTTAAAGACCTAAACACATAGTTAAACTAAAAATCCATTAATGGGCGATGTGGGTGTGCATTTAGCCCAAGAACAGGAGCTTCTTCAGCAACTTGAGCTTGAGCAGGAAAGACTGATCGTCGGACGGGTTGACGGACTCGCTGCCAGGACCTTCAAGGCCCTCGGGAACGGCCTCCTCTCGGGGAGCAGCACTGGTGACCATGAAGCACACAGCCAGGCAGAGGAACACACTCTGTAAGGGAACAAAAAGGGATCACGAATGAGTAAAGGTCGCTTAGTAGTCCTTCGGCTTGTAGAGACGCACCAGAAGCAAGAATTTCATGTTGACTGGGCTTCGGTTGGCTTCGATTTGATCGATGATCTCGCACTGCGCGTTGACAGACTTGCTAGCACTGAACACCAGACCCCGCCGACCCGTCTATTTATATGCCAGTCCACTGGCCTGCGATGCTCGGCCGGCAGACCGCTCGTCTTTCACAGAAATTAAAACAAAAACAACAAGAAAAGAAAGACGCCGACACAAGTTTCGGTGATTCAGAGCGGTGCGAGGAGCGGGCAATCAATCTGTTTGGGACTATTAAATGTGATTTTAGCCCGCCACGCATGTGGAGCAATAGCGATAACAAAAGCCAGACAAAGTGTTTCGCCTGCGTCCATTTTTTTGGCGCTTCTGCTACCTTTTTGTGGTTTGTCCGGTACTTTGAGTATAATGTTTGGTCAATTTGTTGACATGCGGTTTTCCCGGTTTCTTCGCCTCTTTTTGCTAATCGGCGTTTCCTCGGTTCTGAGTTCTATTTGAGTAGGCCATTATGTGCGAGCGGATTCTCTGCTAAATATTAATTAGCGGCTTGACATTGGCCTTAACGCCGAGATCAGCTAATAACAATTGAATTCACACCTGTGCATGGGTGTCGAAAATAACTATTTAAGTGGGGGAGTATTTTATTGGGGATTTTGGGGATAGTATATTTATTTTATTAGGAAATTTGAGGAAGAAGTTTGGGTTGTGTGTATTTTAGCAAGTAATTGAGTTTTTATTTTTTATTTTGAATATGTTCAATGTATTGAACGAATGGATTTACAAATAATGCTTCTTTACAACTAGAAAATTAGCTGACTTAGGGAAGCAGGTCCTTTTAAGCCTTTCGTTTCTACGTTAGCAATGGGATAATGAAATTATTTAATAGCCTTTTTATAATATTAAAATTAAAAAGTAAGGAAGCTAACTTCGGTAAGCCGAAGTATATATACTCTTGCAGTTTCGAGTGACCATAAGTAAGCCAAAAATGCATTAATTCCAATTCGGAAACTGTGTCTGTGTTAGTTTTTATTAGGTTAACAAATCTGAACTTAACATTTTAAAAACTTCAATTTTTATCAATTTATGAAATTTTTAAAAAGGGTTACATCGTCAAAACTTTAAAATTGAAAAATATTTTAATCTCTTTAAATTTTAAATTGAGAATGCAGATTTATTAACCGAATTTAAACTAACATAGGACAGCTTTCTGAATTAAAATTAAATTTTTTTTGCCTTATCTGTGTGTTTTATAACTTTATTTTTTTAATCGCATGTAAAAATATTAAAAAAATATAGGTTTAAAAAAAGCGAATTTTTTAAGCTTTGGCATGATTTATTTTCGATTTTGTTCTTAATTTTACTCGCAAACTACAAGGTTACATAAACATTGACTTCCCGAAGTACGTTTTCTTCCTTGTTTTATTTTTCTTTTCATGTATATAGTGTGAAAATTAAACTTTTTTTGCGATGCAAACTTCTAATTAAATTTTTAAAAGTAAGTTACTCAAGTCCTGCACCATTCAAAATATTTCTATGGGCTTGCTCTTATAGCAGTGTAAAATTTTTGCTGAGCGCTGCCAGACTGATAAAGGAAAATCACCACTTTCCTCCCCTCTGCGCGTCATTCTTATTTTCCAGCTGTGAAATCAATTAGACTGGGTGGGAGAAAGCATTAATTCCTGCAAAGATATTAAAAATACTTCGTAAATATCAACGACAAGCCAGCGTTGCCACTTTTTCAACAAAAATATCGTTATAAAAATATTTTGTTGTATTCAAAATATAACGATATATTGATATTTCTACATGTTTTGTCATCTCTAGTTGCTTATAACCAAATTAGACAATATAACTTAGCAATAAAAGAAAAGCAATAACGAGTCCAAATTCGAAGCCAACCCATATACACAAACACACACACCCGCCCAAAAAGATATACACGTCAACCAGGAGCGCCCCTGACGGAACAATGACTGGATCGTTCAGTTTAAAACTCAAATCGAAAAAAGGTCAATTCATTGTCAAAGACCTTAACGAGAATACGACGCTCGGGGAGCTGAAGCGGAAAATAGCCACTGCCACCGCAATCCAGCCACCTCAGCTCCACGTCCTGGTAGGCTATCCGCCCAAGCCCCTGGACCTCTCGCAGCAGCAGGAGCAGCGCGACCTCAAGACCGTCGGTATCAACAGTGGAGAAACCTTGATTGTGGAAGAGAAGGCCGCTCCAGCAGCCGCACCATCTGCCTTTGCCACCCTGGAGGACGACGAGGCGCTGGCGCGTCGTCTTCAGGCCGAAGAGGATGCTCAACAGCAAGAACTAGAGGCAGTAGCCGCAGGCGGCAATGCCTCGCAATTGCAGCTCCCAATAGCACCCACGGAAAGCGGGCCGAACGGCGACTTCAACGGCATCTTATTGAAGAAGGTGGTGCCGGCGGATAACTCATGCCTGTTCACCAGCATTCGATTCGTGCTCAACGGCAAGGTGGACAACGAGGGCAGTGAAATGATGCGTCACATCATAGCCCAAGAGGTGGCCGCCAATCCGCAGGAGTACAACGATGCCGTGCTGGGCAAGTCCAATGCAGAGTACTGCTCGTGGATCCAGAAGGCTGACTCGTGGGGCGGCGCCATTGAGGTGGCCATTCTGTCCAACTATTACGGCATCGAGATCGACGTCGTAGACATCCAGAATGCGATCATTAACCGCTTCGGCGAGGACAAGAACTTTGGACTGCGTGTCTTCCTGCTGTTCGACGGCATCCACTACGACCCGCTGTACATGGAAACGGCCCAAAGCGCCGCACCCGCCACCATCTTTCCCGTAGAAGAGATGGGCGTATACCAACAAGCCGAGCAGCTGGCTAACGAGGCCAAGTCGTCGCGCCAGTATACTAACGTGGACAAGTTTACGGTGCGCTGCATGCAGTGCGACGTCAGGCTGGTGGGGCAGGCACAGGCCCAGGAGCACGCCCAGGCCACGGGCCACAGCAGGTTCGGGGAGATTTAATACGTCCTGATCGTCGGCACCGTCTACATTGTGGCTTTCATGCTGTTTGCCTACTACCTGCTCACCACCTAGCCACAGTCGCACTGATACACTGACTCACCGTTGCCCAGTTGCAGTGCGCGGAGATCCTGAGCCCGCAGTAGCTAAATTTTACTACCTCCACATTCACGCCTCCAAAACTCATTGATTATTTTGCGCCAGTCGCCTGAATTCATAGTCTCTTTATCCTTATCCCCTTTTCGGATCGTAATAAAGCATGCACATTCATCTACACTAATGTGGAAATGCATTTTCACTGCCACGTGGAAAGCTGAGAGTCCTGGGAATGCTAGGAAGCCCAGGGCGGGGTCATCGCAGCCGGATTCTGCAGATAGGACATCACTACAGCGCTAACGCTCAGCATGAAGGAGGAGAGCACTTGCTTGGCGTCGTCGCTGGCTCGCGAGCTGGCGAAACTAATGCAGGAACAGTAAAGCGCAAACCAGGCACACCACTTGAGCTAAGGAAGAAAAATTTGGAGATTAGATATGCATATATAAGTCATAAAGCAGGTGGATTCCATACCTTCATCATCAGGCCGCACATTGAGAAAATCATGCCCAGAATGTTCATGTAATCCGGCATCATGTCCTCGTTGGCGCCGCCACTCTGACCCTGATTCTTGGGCGCCTTGTAGCGGTTGATCTTCTCCTTGCGGCGGGGGTCCACGGTGATGCTCATGTTTAATTTATTTAATTTTCACTAATTTAAGCTAAAACCAGGTCAGATTGGGTACGAGGAATGACGTTGTGTACGTTTCGGTGTGAATATATGTCTTCATTGGTGTGAATGACACCATAAAAAAGGTGGCAACCTCGTCCAGCAGATGGTTTCGTATTTACATCGCGGCTAGCACGTTTGAATTGGTTTTTTTTTTAATTACATAAAAATCACATAAAGTTGCAGCAGATTAAATGGCACTGCGGTTGATTAGCCGCTCCTTGGCCACGCATATGCGTGGCATGCAATTAAACGCCACCAGAAGTGGACTTAAGGAATATAACTTTAGCAACGTCTTGGTGTCTCCTGCCTGGACTTGCGGACCAAATCGCATGCTGCATGTGCGGATTACGGACCAAGAAGCCGGTCTGCAGACCAAACGGCAAGCAAACAGAAGTCACAATCCGTTTCAAGAAGAGGAGGAACTTCCATTGGATGCACCAAAACAGCACAACAAACGGAGAAAAGAAAAACAGCCAAAGGAAAAGGCCACCGAGAAAGTTCTGAACTTCGGTGATCCGGACACTTTCGGCGATGCCAAGGTTAACGAGAGTCAAGTCGAAGATCCTGGAGATGTGGAGGAGGAGGCTTATATAAGCAGACCCACGAGGCAGTCAAAGAAGCTGCAGGCCGTGGAATACGCTCGGCAGATTAAGGATCACCTGAAAGCAAACCGGCTAAATGATGCCATCGCTGTGCTGGAGCAGCGGATGTTGCGCGAGGATCGTGCCAAGCCGGACAAATACATATACAACCTACTGATCAGCGGTTGCGCAAAGGCCGGATACACCCGCAAGGCCTTTGCTCTGTATACCAAGATGCGGCAGCGGGGCCTTCAAGTGACTGGCGGCACCTACACCTCTCTTTTCAACGCCTGCGCCAATGCTCCCTCCCTCAGCGATGGCCTGGCCAAGGCTCAGATCGTCAGGGAGAACATGCTGGAAAAGGGATATGAGCCTAACGTAAAGAACTACAATGCTATGATTAAGGCCTACGGTAGATGCGGGGATATCGACACTGCCTATCTTCTCGCGGACGAAATGAAAGAGCGGAAGCTTGAGATGAATGCCGATACGTTCAACTTTCTGTTACAGGCCTGCGCCAGCCACTCGGAGCACGGTTTCAGGCACGCTCTCCTCACCTGGCACAAAATGCTGCATAGTGGGATCAGCCCGGACTACTACAGCTTTACTACAATGCTCAGATGTGTGAGGGACTGCAGCTTTGGAGACTTGGAAGCGATGCGGGAGGTCCTCGATCAGATTGCTCCTGCAGCAACTAGACAGAAGCCGGCTCTTCGCTTGGACAGTGTCGATAAAGATAATCTGCCCACTATATCTTCAAGTTCCTCATCGCTTCCTGCCCAAATAGAGATGGTCACGACATCAAGCGATCTGGAAATGCCAAATCTCCTCCTGCCGCGACCTCATCTGGGCAGTTTGGTGGCCTTGGAGGAGGTGTCTCGTCCACATGAGCGGTTTCTACTCCTCGGCGGTCTGACAGGCTTTCTGGACCTCATGAAAGAGCATAAAGTCACGCCAGATATTGAGACATTCACCACCATGCTGGAGGTTATCCCTCCTACCAACACCGCAGAGAAGCAGCTGCTCACTTTCGTCCGCAAGATCGGGCTAAAGGCGGACATCGACTTCTTCAATATACTTATCAAAAAGAGATCCATGCGCTTCGATTACGAGAGTGCTCGCGAGGTGCTAGCTATGATTCGGACGGCGGGTCTGCATCCAGATATTGTCACCTACGGTGTCCTCGCTCTGGGCTGCCGCACGCAGGAGGAAGCCAGAGAGCTGCTGCAGCAAATGCAGGTGGCAGGCATCAAGATGAATATGCCCATCTTGGGCGCCATGCTGCGGCAGGGCTGCGCCAATAAATCCTTTGGCTACATCAACGAGATCATGCAGTTGAGTCTGGAGGAGGGACTTAAACCCAATGAGCCATTTTTGCGTCATCTGCACAACTTTCACAGGGGATGTGCCAGGGCCATTGACGCCAGGGTAAGGCATTAGCGAGAATATATATCGACACGTCCTGTACTAATGGTCATCTTATACAGCATCCCACGACTAAGACTGCCGCCTTTAAAAAGGGACACTCGAAATTCTGTGATAAGTACCGCCTGTATTATGAGGAACTCGGCCTCACCGGTCTCAAGTTGGAGGATGCCATTACCAAGATGAAGGAGCGCCCATATGCAAGGTACAAGGAAGAACCCGTTGAGGGAAAAGAACCACTCAAACATGAGCTGATCAAACGCAAGACAAAGCTGCGGAAGTACATCAAGAAAATCAAGATAGACAAACTGCAGGATGATCCACCCAGAGAGACCTTCAAGAGGATAGAATAGGTTTAACAGTTTAACACGCCCATTAAAGTTTATTATTTGTTAGCCAATCATTGTGCGCTTGCGTCCCCGGGCTCTTACCTCCTCGAATTTGGACAGCACTGCCTCCTCGTCTTTGCCGCACTCCTTGCGATACGCGGCCAAGATGTGTTCAAATAGATAGGGCTGCTCGCTGTGGGTGCTAAGCAGCGCGCGCTCCAGAACGTACAGATCGACGCCCTTGTCCTCAGTGGCCTGGTTGTAGTGGCTCAGTCCGAAATCAATAAGGATAACGTCGTAGTCGCAGGCCTTCGGGTTGATGAGCAGGTTCGAGGTGGTCAAGTCGCCGTGTATGATGTGATTTGAGTGCATCTTGCCGACGATAGAACCAATTCGCGAGCAAAGCTCCAGCAGCGCCAGTTTCGCTTCCTCCTCCGAGTTAGCCCCCACTGTCCGTTGTATAAATAGCTTTGCTGTTGTCGCCTTGTCGAAGTATTCCATGTATAGCTTGTGGGTGTTGAGGTCAGAGTGAAGGATCTTTGGGGCCAGGATGCCGGCAGCCAAACAACGGCTGGCCGCCTTGGCTTCGGCCTTCATTCGCTGCCGCGTGATCTGCGTGTCCAGTTCGGGATGACGATACTTCTTTACAAACCGCTCCTTGATCAGGCATGACTCGCCCTTAAAATCACCCAGATATAGGCGCCCCTCGGCGCCTTGTTTGAGGATTTCCGTAGACATTCTTTAGATTTTACTTTAAACGAGTCGTCCGCCGGCGTTCTTTTTTGAAGAAAGATTGGCAGCCCCGAAAAGGTGCTTAGTTTATGGGGACTATGGTATTCACTGCGAAACGCATGCACACAGCTGACAGCTGTTTGCTGTTTTGATGTTTGCTCCGATTGCGCCAATCTCCGTGTGAATCATCAACAGGAAAAACCACCACAGCTCAGCAGCTCCGAGAGTCAGAAATTAAGGCTCTAAGCTAGCACTAAATTCTAAAATGTTCAACAATTTGTTCGGCAAAAAGCCCACCGTAAAGGAGCAGCAGCGCGAGAATGATCGCTCGCTGCGCAAGGCCACCCGCGACATTGAACGCGAACGGAGGAAGCTAGAGGATGAGGAACGCAAGCTGGAGGCTGAAATCCGACGCAATGCCGCCGCCGGGAACAACGACGCCTGTCGCATCCTGGCCAAGCAGCTGGTGGAGATCCGAAAGCAGAAGTCTCGCACATACGCAGCCTCCGGAAAGATCCAGTCCATCGGCTACCAAAACAAGAACATGGGCGCCAACATCGCACTGAGCGAGGCCATGGGCAGCACGGCCAAGACGATGGCTGACATGAATAAGGTTATGCGGCCGGAGGCAATCGGTGAGACAGTGCGACAGTTCCAGGCGGCGAACATGAAGATGGAGATGACCGATGAGATGATCAACGACACTCTGGACGACATGCTTAACGAGTCGGGAGATGAGGAGGAGTCCAACGCCGTGGTTAACAAGGTGCTGGATGAGATTGGCATTGAGATATCCGGCAAAATGTCCAGCATCCCGGCCACAGGCACCGCAGACTTCGAGACGAGCAGCAAGCGCACCGAAAAGGACATCGCCGACCAGCTGGCCAAGCTGCGCTCCTCCTAGTCGTTAGTCCCACTGAATTGTCATTGTATTTTTTGATCACTGTGAACACTGCTGTTATCCATAGCCCGTAAGGAAATATATTTATGTACATCGCTTAGAGACGCGCAGTCATTCCACCGCCGGCCACGATGGCTTCACCCGTGATGTAGCCCGCATCCTCAGAGACCAGAAATGAGACCACTCCAGCCATCTCCTCACTAGTACCGAGGCGGCCCATGGGAATCTTGCTCAGCGCCGCCTCATTTGCCGACTCATTTTCGTACAGCGCTTTGGAGAACTTTGTTTTGATCACACCGGGAGCCAGGCAGTTGACCCGAATGCCCTCGGGCGCCAGATCCTTGGCGGCCGCCTTGGTCAGACCGATCAGAGCTGTTTTGCTCACCGAGTACGCTCCCAGTAGCTGCAACGATAAGAGGATTGCGATAAGCTTCCGGACATTTGACCCTCCGATAAGCATTGCGAAAAGAGACTAACCTCAAAGGCATCGTAGCCTGCGATGGAGGAGACAAAGACGATGCTGGAACCTTTCTCCTGGCGCAGCAGGGGCAACGCCTCCTTGGCCAGCAGGTAGGAGCTCTTCACGTTCACATCGAAGATCTTGTCCCAGACCTTCTCATCGCACTCGAGCACTCCACCTACGGCGGGATTGGTGGCCGCGTTGCTAACAAGGATGTTGAGCTTTCCAAACTTGCTGATGGTCTCTTCGAAGAGCTGCTTGCGATCCTGGGGCTCGCTCACGTGACACTTCAGTCCATGGACATTTAGGTTTAGCTTCCGCAGCTCCGCCAGAGCGTTGTCCACGTTCTTCTGTTTTCGGCTGCTGATGACCACGGCGGCTCCGTCCTCGGCCAACCGCTTGGCGATGGCAAAGCCAATCCTGTAACAGGATTCGGTTGGTTAGTAAGGAAAACATGATTGGACATTGGGGCAATGTCATACCCATCTGTAGAGGCAGTGACCACGGCAACTTTCCCTGCTAAGCGCTTCATCGGACCAACGTGCGAACTTTGACTGGTGCTGGACAAGCGCTTATGGCACTGATTAGGGCCAACAAGTTTCTGGCTGTGAATGTTGTTGTTTTGATCGAGATTCCGGCCCGAACTTTGACCACTTCCAGTCACAGCGGCTGCGCTCAATCGGTTCTTGGGCGCCCTGACCACCAGTTGCTTGCCCAGATGTAGCATTTTCCAAAGCGAAGGATTAAAATCTTTTTGAAGGATTCGTTGCCTAACAATTGATTTTCCCAATTGGATTTTACTGCGGCTTAGAGATCTCCAATTTGTTTACAACTGGAATAGCTTCTTCTTCCTGTCCGCGGTTTGCCATTCGCAGAAAGCTTTAAGTTGGCGCCAGTTTTAAAAATGCTAAAAGTGGAACTCTAGCGATTGATTACTTTGAAGTTAATAAAAAAAACAAACTAAGAGTTATTTATAAATGTATAAATAGATGTAAAAATAAATATACTCAATTATATTACTTATTGCTGTTACCATTTAACCGCAACAACAACTCATCGAAAGATAAGCACTTTGAAATGAAAATCTCCAAACAGTCAGATAAACGCTCCAATTTCGTAATAACATAAACAAAGATAAATAAGTATGACAAACAAATCGCAAACAGAGCGGGGTTCTCTACATAATGGAGAACTTCGTGCCCAAAACATATACATATGTATGTGCATATATAGATTCGCCAAAAAGTGCAAATTGACAAGCGGACAGAGGAGCCATTATACAGCGTCGACTCTGGCTCCACTCCAGTCGCAGTCGTCGGCGGAAGCAGTCTGGTGTCACTTCTCGAACAAGGTTCGTCTCCGGTTCTCCGGCTCTCCGTTTCCGTCCGGCACGCGCTAACCGCTTTTCGTTTCGGTTTTTCATTTAACTTTTCGCAGCCCTCGCGTCGGCAAGGCATGTGATACGGAAAAAGCCCTTATGATAGTGCTAACTAAAGACTCGACTAACTAAACATAAGTTACATAAAAATAAACCCGATAAAACATAACCCAAGAGATGAGTAGCGACCAGGCCAAAGAGATTGAGGCTGTGCCCCCATCGCTGCAGGACTTCAAGGCTCCTGTCCTGCCGGACAACAAGCTGGTGCTCTTCTTCCATCCGTACAACTTCTACTCACAAAAAGTTAGTAGCAGCCGCTAGCTCTCTCTAATCATGTGATCTTCGAGCAAATTATTTTCCATATCCGAATCTCAATCAACCAATGCCGCGAAATTACTAAGTTAATCATCATCGTAATTCGGACTCGTCATGGTTTTGTTTTTTTTGTATTTGATGTAATGACTGGAGTGGGATGCCCCGCTTGGAAGGTTTCCACCCGCGCTCCCCAGCGGATGCAATGGAGCATGACTTGGTCTCGGAGTAGCATGTAGTTAGGAGGAAGTGTAGCGGAGCTCTCTAGATTTCGGACTACACTCTAAAAGTCTAGACTTTGGGCTTATGACAGCATAGGATAGATTTACACACTGTTTACTCGGCTGCTGCTGCAGGTGCTAATGAGTTGAATTGAGCGGGAGAGCACAGAAGATAAGCGAAAAAGTAAACAAAGCGCAGAATTTAGTATATTATTTGATCAAAAAACATTTAGGTAGAATTAAATAAAAACAAATAATTATATAAGAGAATAGAGAGAAAAGGATTCTAAAGATATTACCTAAATTAACAGAAATGTAACCATTCTAAGACTCTTAACTAAATGAGTCGAATGCATTGATAGTGCCTGCCTGCATTTCGTGAAATTTTTAAATATTTTTCAATTAATTTCAAATTCCTGGACTAAAGCCAAATATATAAATTTCGTATATATGTACATATATGTATTAATCGACGAAGACATAAATAGGAAATTAAGACAAGAAAGGAACTATTCGAATTCTTTGAATCAATATTTACCCAGATTTTTATATGACATCAACAATTTTAAAATCTAATAACTAAGCCAAAAAAGCGTTATTTTTAATTCGGAAAGCTTTTCCATGTTAGTTTTTATTATATTCTTAAATCTGCATACTCAATTTAAAATTACATTTTTTTTTTGTAAATTTTTGAAAATTTTAACGATGTAACCCCTTTTATATATTCCTGCTATTTTTTATAAATTTATGTTTTTACCGGACATGGCTAGAACAACTCTTCTGTTGATGCTGATCAAGAGTATATATGATTTATAGGGTCAGAAATTACTTCTTTACAGCTTTAGAAGCTTCTGACTAAAATTATAATACCCTACAACCCTACCCACTGAAACTTTTTTTTAAATCATAAAATCCATATTTCCCATTTCCAAATACAGGTTCTTCTTGTCCTATATGAGAAGAAGATCGACTTTTTCCCATACGTTGTGGATTTGTGCAATGGAGAGCAGTATTCCAGTTGGTTCCTGAACCTTAATCCCAAAGGCGATGTGCCAGTACTTCAGGATGGAGCCTTTATCGTTCCCAACTCGACGCACATCATCAACTATGTGGAAAGCAAATTCCGCGGAGGTAAGTACCGTCTATAAATCTGACCTTACAACAAGCTTGTTTAACTATCTGAGATTTTTAGCTAAGCACCCGGCGCTGAAGCCTGCACAAAACTCCAAGGACTACGACCAGATGTTGCTCTATGAGCAAGCGGTGGGTCGTCTACCAGTAGGAGCGCTCAGTCTGGGTTCCTTCATCCACGATGACCTTAAACTGGTGCCCAAAGCGCCCTTCATAGGACCTGTGCGCCAGTCCTGCCTGAGTAGGTTACCTCTTTTAGTCCTCTAACCATAGTCACGGATAAACTTTAATATGTTGCCTTTAATCTTTTAGAGAACAACGAAAAGGTTCTGGACTTACTGCGCCGTTCCGTGGAAGAGCTGGCATCTAACAAGGCTGCTCTGAAGAACAAGCTGGACATCCAAGTGCGCCGTCGGGATCTGGTCTCGTCCCGCGAGGATTTCCAACGCGTTCTGGATGCTGTGCGCCACTTCCTACTTTACGTAGAGCAGGAACTGTCAGCAAAAGCTCCCCGCAGCGAGTGGCTGACCGGAGACGAGCTTACCCTGGCAGATATCTCGCTGGGACTGCTCCTGCACCGGCTGTACCAATTGGGCTTCGAGAATCACTACTGGGCCTTCGGCAAGCTGCCCCAGGTTGAGGCCTACTTCCTGCGCTTCCGGCAGCGCGAGTCCTACCACCGCCTGCAGCCAAGCAACTTTGCCATTTTGCGCGAGATGTGGATGCGGACGCCGGGCAACTACAAGCTGGGAGCGGGCGCCGGCTTCCTCGGTATGGCCATGTTCGCAGCCTTCGCCCACAAGTGAGCGGAGGAGGATCGGGACACTAGACTTTGTTAACAAATCCTTTTACTGTTAAAGTTGGGCACATATAAACACACGAACATAAGAACGCTTAAAGCTACGCGCTGCCGATGAAGGATGCTGGGTCCCGGATCCTGAGATCAGATCCTGGGGTATGATGGTAAGGAGAAGGAGGAGGATGAGGAGCAGAACGCGAACCAGTGCCAGCCTCGAGCTGCTTAGTAATATCATTGTTTCATCATTTCATCGTCGCTGAATATACAAAAAATTTGGTAAAAATTCCAATCCGTCACCTTATACTTGTCAATTCCTGCTATGCTTGATGGCTGTGTCTGCCGAGCTGTTCCAAGGACTCTGCTCAGCTGTCCAGCTGCTGCTGGTCCCTTTCCCGCTTCTGCTGCTCGGCTTGCAGCTGATTGGCGGCTGCGCTGGCCGCCTTCGCGTTCGTGAACAGCGGCATGCCCATAAAAGTCGGTATCTGCTGGTCCCTCGGCAAACTCGTCGTTGACGCCGCCTTGCCGTTGAGGTTCGTTCTGGGGCTGGCCCCGGCACTGGTGGCTCCGGATGCCGTAGATAAATGCGAGGGTCGCTTGAAGGGGAACGTGGGCATCTCGCGCTGGTAGCTGAAGCTGCCATTGCCAGGCGCCTCCGGCAGCAAGCCGGGAGTCGGATACCAGAAGCGGTAGGTGAAGTACCAGGTGAGGATCGCAATAATGCCGCTAATCACCTTCTCGATCATGCGGTGGTAGTACAGCATTGTGCCCACTAGCATGATGTCCCACAGCAGCTGCAGTGCCGCCATACCGATGAACAGGGTCCGGATGATCGGCGTCAGGCGCTTGTACAGGAACTGCAGACTGCGCATTTGCTCTTCATTCAGCGTACGCAGCGGATTAGTGCCCGAAGATTCGGAGGAGCTCCGGTTGTGCAACTCGTTTCGAATATGCTCCTTAATCGTCTCCCAGCGGATGATGGGGCGTGCCTCCTCAATGAGCACCAGGCTCGAGTGGATCAGAATGAAGGCGTGACCGGATATATCGAAGCCCTGCCACAAATGACCGGCCTTCAGGCAGCTGGACTTGCTCTGGTAGCCTGTAAGAAAACGGCAGAGTAATTAAAATTTTTCTATGCAGGATCCGCTGGATATATTAGACTTACCCTTGGTGGTGCAGCGACCGTAGGAGGTCTCAACAATGTTAAAGAGCTTCGTCCAGAAGAACCAGAAGAAGGTGGCAATGACGATGCGCGGAAAATGGTGGCGCAGCATCTTCTTATGATCACCGCAGGTAATCGTATATGCAGACAGCACCAGGAAGGGCACAGCGAAGAGCAGAGTCCAACCCCAGCCCACCTTCACGAAGTACATGTTGAAGAGGTTGTCTGATCGCGCAAAGTAGGTCTTTGGGAAAGGCACAAAGTCCCCGATCACGGAGATCACAAAGAGACTGCCTAGATACAGGGCCACCTTGAGGTCCGTGTTGAAGAATATGGTCTTCTTGCACAGATGGATCACGCCCATGACCAGGATCTCTCGTATGCTGGTGGGCGCCGCGGTTGGTCTCGTGCCGCGCGCTTCGGCCCGTGTGATATCAGGGCCCCGGGTCTGAAGTTCATGTTTGAGCCGGATGGGGAGCTGGGATTGGAGCCAAGATTGGGCCGTAGGGGTCGCCGCTTGGTGGCCATCTCGCTTTGTGCCAAAAATAAAGAAGGCCAGATGGAAACTGCGTTGTTGCGATGCCGTTTTTGGTTATGCTGCGGCGGCCGAAAGTGAAAGCGGAAGAATTGTACGTGTCAAAGTTCGTCGAAGGGTTTCCACACTTTACCTGAGCTGCACCTGTCTGACACTGCTACCATTCCTTTGGCCGACACTCACGGCTGATTTTTCCGGGGATTCGATGAACCCCTTCTTTGTTCCCGACGGTGATTTTGTACTTTTTATTATGGCCAAAATTTACGTGTTGCGCCCAGTAAAAAATAGAACAGCTGCTGCACGGGCTGAAAGCGCTACCCAGAGAATGGCACTTGCACTGCACCTGCTGCGCAGTGAATGGCCCCTCGATCAGCTGTTCAAATTTAGTTTTTAGCTTTCATAGCTTTAATTGCCGGTTGGACGACGTCAATTAGGCGCAGCGGCATGTACAACTCGGCCAAGCAGCTGCAGCGCGTGCTGACGGCGCGGGAGATCCGAAAGACGTTCCTCGACCACTTCACCGTCAACCATGGCCACAAATTCGTTCGCTCCAGCCCGGTGGTGCCCTTCTGCGATCCCACGGTGGCGTTTGTCAACGCGGGCATGAATCAGGTGAGGTAACAGACAATCTGAGGCTATTCTCCTCTTATCCAACTACTATCTGTTCCAGTTCAAGTCCGTGTTCCTCGGCACGGCAGCGGCTCCCCACAAGCGGGTGGTCAACTCACAGAAATGCGTCCGGGTGGGCGGCAAGCACAACGATCTGTCCGTGGTGGGCACAGATGGCTACCATCATACCTTCTTCGAGATGCTGGGCAACTGGTCCTTCGGGGACTACTTTAAGGTGGGAGCACAACTCGAGTTTCTGTTAGCTTTAAATAACTTTCTTCTGGTGTTTTCCAGCGGGAGGCATGTGCCATGGCACTGGAGCTACTCCGCGGTCCCTACAACATCGACCCAGCCCGCTTGTATGTAACCTACTTTGCCGGTGACAAGGTGCTAGGCATCCCTGCTGACTTGGAGTGCTTCGAGATCTGGAGGAGTTTGGGGTACAATTGTTATATAATCAAAGGAGCGTTACGTTTGTTACATTTGAAGTTTATGTCCTTGCAGCTTTCCCGCCTCGCGTATCCTTCCCTTTGGCTGCACAGACAACTTCTGGGAGATGGGCACCACCGGGCCGTGTGGTCCCTGCACAGAAATCCACATCGATCATCGTCCGGATCTTGGCAGTGTGGAACAGCGCGCAAAGCTGGTAAATGCAGGCCGCTCCGATCTCACTGAGCTATGGAATCTCGTCTTCATACAGTACAATCGGTAAGGAGGGGTGTCATCTTTAATTCCATGACAAAATCATATTAATTTCATTTTCCAGCCTGGCGGACGGATCAATCACAGAGCTACCCGCTCATCACGTGGACACTGGCATGGGCTTCGAACGTTTGACCGCTTTACTGCAGAACAAGACTTCCAACTATGATACAGACTTGTTCACGCCAATCTTCGACAGCATACAGCAGGTGGCGAAGGCACCGGCTTACGGCGGAAGTTTCTCGGCCGAAGCATCGGTAGATACCAGCTACAGAATTCTGGCGGACCACGCGCGCATGGTTACCGCGTGTCTGGCCGATGGAATGCTTCCCGATCAGAAGTATGTTTAGTATTCGCACCTTTTCTCAGCTAATACCTGTCCTATTTTAGCCAAAAGCTGCGTCGTGTGCTGAGAAAGGCTCTAAATATCTCCGATCATGTCTTCGGTCATGAGAAGCTGTTGACCCAACTAGTTCCTATAGTCGTGGAGACGCTGGGCGAGGCCTATCCAGAGATGTCTTCCCGCCAGCAGGCAGTCGTCGATCTTATCAACCACGAGCAGGAGGTGTACAACAACCTGCGCGAAAGTTCTTCCAAAGCGTTTGCCGAGGTACTCACAGAGTTTCCCAACCTAGACGATATTGATCTTATGGAATGTCCAGGCTTTGTGCCTGCCTACCGGGAGTTCCAGGTTCAGCGCAGCCGATTTCCAAATAACACCATACCGGGTGACTTTCTCTACAAGCTGACTGACACCTATGGTCTCACGGAAGAGAGCTTTCTCAAGCTGGCCGAGCTAGAGAACATGAACTGTGATCTGGAGCGCTACAGAGCGGAGGTTTCGCTGGCCAAGATCAAGGCCAAAGGCGGCCAGCGAGAAAACGGAGAAGCACTCTGCGATCTAGCAAGCGATCAACGCATTGCAGAGGCCCAGGCGAAGCTAACGAAGCGTCTGACAGCCACCGACAACAGTCACAAGTATGTCTACACCTTCGACAAGGAAAGTGATTCCTACAGGATACCGCCGCTGAGGAGTCGCGTAGTGGGAATGCTTCTCAACGATGCGGAGGTGTCACGCACCCAAGCCAGTCGTCTCCAAGAGCCCTCCACCGACATTATTTCCATTGTCACTGCCTCCAGTAACTTCTACTACGAGTCTGGGGGACAGCAATCCGACGAAGGAAAGATCATTGTACAAAATAAGCTGCGACCAGAGCAGCCTCACCTGCTCAATGTGATCTGCGTGAAGCATCTCAACGACTGCGTAGTTCACATGTGCAGGTTACCTTCCTCCCCCTCAAGCGATACCTTCGAGCTGGCCATCGGAGACGAAGTGGAGCTACAAGTGGACGCTGAGCAGAGGCAACTCAACACATGCCATCACACAGGTGAGTCACAGCAGAGACTCACAGCTGCAACTCTTTTAAAAATTAAATTAATCTAACAATTTCGTAGCTACTCATCTGCTGAACGCTGCCATCCGCTCGCTCTTCAACAAGGTCACCTACCAGGTGTCTAGTTCGGTGACCAGCGATCAGTGCAAGCTCGAGGTCGGACTCCTGGGCAAGCGCATCCAAAAGAGCGATGTCCAGCTCATCGAGGATCTGATCAAGTGAGTTAATAGCCCGTTCATTTCTTTCTTTAATGATAACCACAATAACCTCAACTGCAGCCGCATAATTTGCTCCGCGACGCCTGTTCGGGTGGAACTATTGAGTGCCGCCCAAGTGCTGCAACAAAATGACATTACTATGGTGCCCGGCGAGGTGTATCCGGAGCAGGGCTTGCGTCTAGTCAACGTAGAAAGCCCTGAACTGCAACTCAGCTCCAAGGAGCTGTGCTGCGGCACTCACGCCACCAACACAATGGAACTCTCCTGCTTCTGCATCGTCAATCTCAAGCAAACTAATCGGGCGCGCTTCGCCTTCACCGCTGTGGCTGGCCAGGCGGCGGAGAATGTGTGTTAACGCCCCAAAAGAACGTAATTTCTGGATCTAAATTCTATTATTTATTTTCCCTAGGTTCTCAAAACCGCTGCCCTGCTGCGACATCGAGTGGATTTGCTTGAGAAGCAGTTTCAGACCGACAAGCTTACCAACGCCACAGAGGCGGAACTGCAGACCATCCGTCACAATATGCTGCACACCGACATCAAGCTGCCATACGCCTTCAAGATGGACACACTGGAGCGTCTCAATGAGACGCTCAAGAGAATCAAGGACTCTTCGCGCACAACTTTAAAGTAAGTGCCAAATCTTGCCAAGTTTCATAGTTTTACATCAAGTGAACTCTATAATAGGGAATTCGTCGAAGTGGAAATGCGCAACCTGCTGCAGGAGAAGCCTCTCGAAAGTCACCCTTTCATTTTGCACTACATCACCAGCTCGGCCCTCGTAGAAGAAATTCCGCTGCAGCGGGCCACCAAACTCTGTCCGGATCGGCCTATCCTGGTGGTCAGCATGTGTGACAGTGTGGTCAAGGCACGCTGCTGCGTACCAGCCAGCTGCATCGGTGACCAATTCAATGCATCCACCTGGCTGCAGTCTTTCGCGAACACGTTCGGTGGTCAAGTCTCTGCGCCCAAGGGTCAGGATCCTCGGACCGTGTGCAACATGAAGGCCCGGAGAGTCAGCAATCTGTTCGAGGAGCAGCTGGACCAGGCACTGGCCCAGGCGAACGCTTTCGCCAAACTTTATCTATAGGTTATTTCTAGTTGTGATCATCGCCCTCCAAAAAATGTGAGAGCTTAGAGCTTGGCCCTTTAATGTTTTCTATTGTGAATATAACGCGGAAACTGTTTAATCACTGATCACCACGAGCTCATCATATTCATCCTCATCCTCCTGCTGCTGTTCCACTTCCTCCTCTTCTTCGTGTTCGTTCTTCTGAATCAACAGACTGGAGTTCATCAGCTCCTCGAAGGCATCTGTATTGTCAGAGCTTTGATTGAAAAAGAAGCTCACACTAGCCAAAGGCTTCACTGGACTTGGAATCCTTGCGCTGAGGCGATGCTTTAGCTTGAATCGCTCCACTGGCGTCCTAGCTGGCTCGATGAGGTGTGAGGCCTTTCTAGCATTTCCGTTTACCAATCGATCAAAGCTGTCATCCAGAGATAACCGTTTGCTATGCGGAGGCGGTTGCTCCATTTGAGAAAGTTCTCTCTTATTTTGCGACTCCTCGTCGTCGCCAAGGCTCATCTGGGCCAGCCGCAAACTCAAATCTGCCGCCATCGGTTCGTAGTGCAACTGGTGTCCTTGGTGCTGCGTCAACAACTCTGGCCTCGTCTTGGGATTGGTTATGATGCCATTGACAATGTCGGACAGGTCAAATTCGGCCGCATCGCAGTCACTTTCCAGATCGGAGGGCAAGCACTTGGTGATGGGAGTGGAGCATTGCTGGCGCTCCTGTAAAGCTGAACTCTTGAAGGGAGTATTGCCACCTTCCTTGCCACGACTCAGGAATTGCTGCAACAAGGGTTGACCTGGTTCGGTTGTAGATTTTTCTTTCGGACAACTCGCTTTGGTTTCGGCTTCGGTCCTTGTTCCGTCTCATTCTCCTTATCATCTTCTTGTGGAGCAGTTTTTTTCTTTCTCGTTGTTTTCTTGGCAGGCTTCTCCTTGGACTTGAGGAAGGCAGCCACCAAGTCCGGATAGGCCTGCTCCATCATATCCAACGGTTCGATGGTGTAGAACAGCTCCTCGATTCCTTTCGGATGCTCCAGCTCAAACTCGGATAGCTGTTCGTCGGGTATAAGACCCTTAAAACTCCCGCTAGGATCGTGCCATTGCAGCTCCAGGCTGGCCACGCCCTTGACGGTGCGCTTTTTAATGATTTCTAGCGGCTCAATAAGAGCCTTCTCCCGCGTCGATTGCTGCACCTGCCAACGCGTTAGAATGGGGAAGAACTTTTGGAAGCAGTAGATTTCCGGCCATTGCAGAAGATGCCCAATTTGCTTGATGAACTTGACGAGATTTGGTTGCCGCCAGTTGAGGTTGATGTTTGGGATGGTGGCCGGCTCGCTGAGGAACTCAGCAATGATCTCTTCGTTGGGAAATTCGGGAGCTAACAAGGCCTTCCGGCGCAAGGCAAGTTCTGCCTTTATGGACAAACGCTGTTCTCTGCGGAGATGTATGGTTTAAATAGAAGAAGACCGTCTTAGGGTATGGCTTACTTCCAAAGGCTTTCATCGCAACCTCGATGGGTTCGACACACACTGCAGCCGCTCCTGGTGTGGCTCTGGGTCTTCCCTAAGTGCCCGCAGTTGCTGCACACAGACTTGTCGTCCACACGAATCTCGAGGGCATTGTATTTGTTGGTCTCCTGCCGCCAGTTTCGCAACCTAAAACGGGGATAATGTTGTGAACTAGCTAAGGCAGATACTTGACGTACTTACCTGTCCAGAATCTCAGTCTCTTTGTACTTGTTGAAGAGCTTCAAGACGCCATCCTTGCCAATGCCACCAATGCCATCGGGGCAGTAATCACATCCGCAGAGCAAAGCCATCACAATAATTTTATGCTGACCAAAGTCCATACGGGCTGTGATCTCCCTCATATCGTAGATGTCCACAGCACCTCCGGCTGCTGCCTGAGCTCCTTGGGTGGACACCGAGAAGTTGCGATAGACCCGAACGGCTCCATAAGCAAGCAATCCGAGTCCTGGCTAATGACGCCGTCAACTAACTTAAGGGAAATCGATTTAGAGAGGTAATATTAAAAGAAATGTTCATCCAACTCACCCCATGCTTGTTGAGAAAGGCGCAGTAAGCCTCCGCTTCGCCAGGTCCTTGGACGCACTGGATTCCCATTGAAAGCAGCAGTGTTTCGCACTGTTTGAGGACATGATTGAACCTGGTGCGGCCCTTGTCACCCTTCGGAGCTTGGGAGCTTCCTGCGGTAGCTTCCTTGGGCTTAACGCCTCGAAATTGGAGCTCATTCCGCTTGGCAATAACCTGGCTCTTGAGCTTTGGAGCAACTCCCTCTAAAACGAAGACGGGCGTGACCTTCTCCCAAATCAGATAGCAGGTGCGAAAGAACAGGTTTCTGTAAGGTTTACAAATTATTTGAAACTAAATAATAATAAGTATTTTAAGTGGAATCAAACTCACTTTAAGTGGTGCCGCGGATGCACAAAGTAATCCACAACGTTAAGGGACTCGCACACCCAGCCGGCCAAGTCGATGGCCACCTTCTTGCCCCGCAGCTCATTGATGGGCTTGCGTTCGGCGTGGGGCGTAAGGACAGTCCACAGTTCCTTGACACCCATAAAAATAAACAAAAAATTAAAATAAAAGCGCGATAAATTTGCGAAAGTATTTCAAACAGCTGCTACCTCTTCCCGTCACGGCCATTCACAACGAAACGCATACCGATAGTTGCCTTTGTTTTGACAGTAGGAATAGCACGCCTGCGAATGGCCAGTGGTCAGCATTCTTCCTCTTCCACATCGACGTGTCAAACGAAAGAAAGTCCAAAAATATAAGTTTTCTGCCTGTTTTTGAATAATCGCAGAGCCCGATAAAATTCAGAGGCTGCCAATAGTTCATACGCCACAGCACCCACACACACCACCAGCAAGATGGTTCTCGCGGATTTGGGGCGGAAGATAACCACCGCGCTGCACTCGCTCAGCAAGGCGACGGTCATCAACGAGGAGGCGCTTAATGCGATGCTGAAAGAGATTTGCGCCGCCCTCCTGGAGGCGGACGTGAACATCCGGCTGGTGAAGCAGCTGCGCGAGAACGTACGCGCCGTGATTGACTTCGATGAGATGGCCGGTGGTCTGAACAAGCGCCGCATGATCCAGTCTGCCGTCTTCAAGGAGCTCGTCAAACTGGTGGATCCCGGGGTGAAGCCCTACCAGCCCATCAAGGGCAAGGCGAACGTGATTATGTTCGTGGGCCTGCAGGGCTCCGGAAAGACAACCACGTGCACTAAGCTAGCCTATCACTACCAGAAGCGCAACTGGAAGTCGTGCCTCGTGTGCGCGGATACCTTCCGTGCCGGCGCCTACGACCAGATCAAGCAAAACGCCACCAAGGCGCGCATCCCCTTCTACGGCAGCTACACGGAAATCGACCCAGTGGTCATTGCCCAGGAGGGCGTCGACATGTTCAAGCGCGAGGGCTTCGAGATGATCATCGTGGACACATCCGGGCGGCACAAGCAAGAGGAGTCGCTGTTCGAGGAAATGTTGGCGGTGTCGAATGCCGTCAGTCCCGACAACATTATATTCGTGATGGACGCCACCATTGGACAGGCTTGTGAGGCCCAGGCAAAGGCCTTCAAGGACAAGGTAGACATCGGTTCCGTCATCATCACCAAGCTGGATGGCCATGCCAAGGGTGGAGGTGCTTGTCGGCCGTGGCTGCCACTCAGTCGCCAATAATCTTCATCGGTACTGGCGAGCACATCGATGACCTGGAGCCTTCAAGACGAAACCCTTTGTGAGCAAGTTGCTAGGCATGGGTGACATAGAGGGTCTGATGGATAAGGTGAGTTGACGGTGAACAATTTCCCATTTTCAACTTCTTGGTTCGCAGGTCAATGAGCTAAAGCTGGACGGCAACGAGGAACTCCTCGAGAAGATCAAGCACGGACACTTTACCATCCGTGACATGTACGAACAGTTCCAGAACATTATGAAGATGGGCCCATTTTCGCAGATCATGAACATGATACCCGGCTTCTCGCAAGATTTCATGACCAAAGGCGGGGAACAGGAGTCGATGGCAAGGATCAAACGCATGATGACCATGATGGACAGCATGTCAGACAACGAACTGGACAACAGAGACGGAGCGAAACTGTTTAGCAAGCAGCCCAACCGCAGCATTCGCGTGGCCCAAGGTGCTGGCGTCCTGGAGCGCGAAGTTAAGGAGCTGATTGCCCACTACACCAAGTTCGCAGCGGTGGTCAAGAAGATGGCGGCGTCAAGGCCTGTTCAAGCAGGGCGACATGACCAAGAACGTGAATCCCAACCAGATGGCTAAGCTCAACCAGCAGATGGCTAAGATGATCGATCCACGGATGCTGCAGCAGATGGGCGGCGTAGGTGGACTCCAGAACATGATGCGACAGCTGCAACAAGGTGCGGCGGGCGGACTAGGCGGCCTGGGGAACCTGATGGGCGGCTTTGGCGGCAAGTGAGCCTGATGACGGTGTGGCGTGTAAATTTAACGATTTTTATATATGATTTTGTTTCCGCGTAGTTCGTAATTTGTTAGCCATTGTTTCCATTTTGTCCAAGGCCACAAAAATTGATATCGGATGTGTGGGACCGAATATAGCATATAAATAGCCTATGTGCAAACGTGCAAACAGTTAACAAATTCGGTTTTGTACGGCTCCAGCAGCCACAGTGTCAGTTTTTATAGCTTAAACAGTTTTCTGTACACGAACTAATGGAAGTTGCATATGCCTATAAAAATTCCGGAATGGCAGTTGAACTAGATATAAACAATAAATAAATATTAATTGAAATTGGCATAAGATCTGGTTTTTGCAATTTTAAATGGGATAACAAGGTGGTCGTGCTTTTCGATGCATATTGTAGTGTATCGGTTAATACAACTAACAAATATTATAACACCTGCCAATCTATTATTAATTTTTTATAAATATAATACTTTTTTTTAATTAATTAGGATAAGAGATACAAGATATAAATTGGATCGATTTACCAGTCACAGGTCGCCAGCTGATATTGACAACAGCGCCTCATCTCCCTCTCTCGCCCACTCCGCCATCCATCATAGCTGAGCGACTCTCCCGGTGGCCGCTGGAATTTGTTCTATGTTAATTTACACTC